GTGGACACCCTGTATAACATGGTAAGTTTATTATCATTGGAATATAAAATATTATATCTTGTTACACTTCACTATAATTAAAGTATTTGGGGCTCCCATTGACTGAAATACCATGAATTTTGATCCCTCCATTTCAAACGTGAGTACCCCAGGCCATTTCCGTTACAATATGTTTAAATTTAACATGGTAACCCGAAGTACACTATATTTTCTTAGTTAAACGACACACAGAAATTTCTATATGCAAAAGTTTCACTTTTTTAAATAATGTTTTCACTAATATAAAACACCACAGAGGATAACAGGAGATATGGAACGCACCTTGCAGCCACGCCACTAATAGTGGCGCCGCTATATTGACATCTGCGCGTGCGCGTTTGATTCTCAGTAAGACCTGCCACTAATATAAGCTTTGTGTCTGCCGCTATTTGCACACGCCTAACACTGCCACAATTTGGTTATGTTTTACTTGGGGTTATTCCGTGACACCTTCGTGCATCCACGCGTTGAAGAAACCTACTATATTCAAGCAATTTTTCCCCCAAAAATGCATCGAATCAATCTAACCAGTCTTTGGCGAGTTGAATTAGGTAATTTTTCGAATATTTTCCGCAAATGATCGCAAAAAAGCTCTCAACATTGCTGCACCTTTGAGATCCATTACAACTCCCAAGGAGGCCACTTTTTCCTGGAAAGCTTTTACCTGCTTCGCAGGCTCTGCAGCAATATTTTATTTTATGTTATTTGGAAATTTATTAGCGAATCTCCGTCCATTTTGGCTCGACTGGCTGCAACTGGGACAAACTGAAGTGAACTGGATCAGTTCAGTGGCGTAACCTTTCCAGACCGATTGAGTCTAAGCCGATAAAACCAGAGCAAATCGGTCCAGGTACGAGTGAAACGATGACAGGAAAACACCGTTTCGTTTATTTCGAGACGTGTTCGAGTGTCTGTAGCAAATTGCATGAGCGAAGACGTTTTTCAGGGCGATTTTCTTTGTGGGTCATCGGAAACGGAGTATTTAAAGTCTGAGCAGAGGGTTGAGCGGCTTAAATCGTAAAGTAAAAATTTTGACCATCGTTTATTTCACTACGTTTCGGCGAGACAACAGCGCCATCATCAGATT